ACTCCAGTCTGGGCGACAGAGTGAGACTCCAACTCAAAAAAAAATAAAAATCAAAATAAAATAAATCCTGCTTTCTCACTTAAAAAAAAAAGCAACTAAAAGCCCTATCCTACTATCTTACTCTGTTGTTCATCTGCTCAAAGTACATTCTTTCCTAGTGTAACGTCACTTAAAGCAAATAGAGAAGAAGAGTGGCAGAAACAGCACAAATAAAATTTAATGAACTCTCTATTTAAAAACATGGGAATTTAGAAGTCTTTGAATGCCAGATGTAAAAGAAATTAACTCATTCTCCAGCGACTTTTATTTTTCTAGCTCGTCCTTACAGTACAGAAATAACTTGACTTCAGAGTGCCTGTGCAGCTGGCAGTATTCCTGGCTTCTGAAATCCTCCAAGAGAAAATGACTAGTAGACAAATACTTCCAGAAGAATCCCACAGATAGATCCCTTAAACACACAAATCCACCACCACAAGCACACCAAGAGACCAAGTTGTAATTGACAGAGACTATAAACGTTGCACTCCTGGGTTAAGACACTCTCCTTTAGGAAATGCACATGAAATTTCACATTCTTAATGCAAAAGAAGACATATGCATGGACACTGTGCTTCCACATGGCAGATGCTCAACATGTATTTAAGAAATTGAACAGGGGACTGACACCTCAGGGGCCCATCTTGCTCTCAGGGCAGAAGGGCAATCCCTCTTCTACCTCTCCCGTGCACTCATTTTTGAGCCCTAGGCCCAGTGGATCTGGTTATGTTACTAATGTTAAAAACAATATAAGAGATACTCTATGAAGCAACAGTTAAGACAGTAAGTAGGCTTACTTTAAATCCAGTATACTCTATCTCAGTTGCAAAAATTCTATAAAACTTAAACACCACTTCTGTTCTAGGACTGGTGCAGCAGATTTAAATACAGTTGACTCATATACAAGTCAGGAAATACTGCATGGGAATATATGATCCAATCAAAATTAAATAAAGCAATGAAATATTTTTATTTATCTTATTAATTGTATGTTTTTTTAAATTTAAAAATAAAGATGAGGTCTCACTATGTTGCCCAGGCTGGTCTTGAATTTCTCCTGCCTTGTCCTCCTAAAAGTGCTAGGATTACAGGTGTGAGCCACCACACCTGGCCAAAATAACTTTTAAAACACTTGCTTTAGGAAAATCTTATTAAAGGTGAAATAGTAATTTTCTTCCAAATATCCTAGCTGAGTTACACCTGGCCAAAATAACTTTTAAAACACTTGCTTTAGGAAAATCTTATTAAAGGTGAAATAGTAATTTTCTTCCAAATATCCTAGCTGAGTTACAGTTATTCCTATGCCTCAATTTTCAAAGTTTACCTAAAAGATCACATCGATTTGGCTTTTCCATCTCAGGACAACTATGTATTATGTACTATTAATGCAATCACTGAGTGCCCGCAGAAACAAAAGATGAAACAGTCCCTGCCCCAGATGGTCCAGTCTGGTCTGGCTAGACTTGTTCTGGCACTTCTGGCATCAGTGCACACTCCCCAAGGCCCAAGTTCCATGCCCCCACTGCCCCACGCTCCCAGCACACATCAAATCTGGTGAAAAGGGCGGAAGGCAGATAAGACAAACAGGATCTGCTTAGTCCTCAGGTGAGTTACCACACAGGGGCCACCACTTAGTTCTCAACTTCACCAAAGCTCCCAACCTGGCAAAGCTTTAGACAAATCTTTTCCCTCTGTCCTTTTCAACAGATGACCAACTGTTTTTAAAAAGAATTTTTAAATGTTATAAACAGATCAATTAAAAACTAATTAAAAGATAAAAAGAAATAACATGTTCTTAAATAAAATCTGTTGGGAGATCACAATTACAGCATGCCTTCTGAGACAAGTATAATACATACCTACGTCTTGAGAAATACATTTAGGCTTCTTGTATTTCAACACTCCTGCTAAACCTTGACAGAAAAACTGTTTGCCTGACAAGGTGTCAGTGTCCTGTTCAAAATAAATAAATTCTGAACTTAAAATCTGCAAGCCCAAAATGTCACATATCTTCCAGCAAATCTTCTTGAACATGTTCAGGAACACTGTCAAATTGCAAACAGAAACTAAAAGGTAGCTGGGTTTCTAAATATAAGAATAACATACTCTTTAATCCATCTGGTTTAGAAAAGAAAATAAAGCTGGGGGAAAGGGAAAACGCAAAGAAACCATGTCAAACAAAGCCTGACTAGTTCCGAATCTGTGATCATTTGAAAGGGATGGGAGTAAATATTAAATATTTAAAATGTCTCTGGGTTTTTATGTTTAGAACATAAATTATCCCCCTAGAAAAAAATCCAAGGTCAAAATATGATGCTTTGTTGCCTAGATTTTTTTTTCTACCACAGAAATAAATACCTGCCTAGCCCAGGTCCTTTCCTCCCCAAATCACCAACATGCTCAATTATATGAACACAATCAGTCCTGAGTTCTTTATTTTCTGAACACCCCTGCAGGGATACAAAAAAAAATCTCACAAACACACAGATCTTCACCAAAACAACTTAAGATTTAGCATAAAATTCTAACAAATATTCTTTGATAAAGACATACATTTTGATTCACAAAAAGAAAGCTTAGTTTCAACAATTTAATAACTACTTTGTAGAAAGAAATCAATTATTTTCCATGATTAAAGTAGGAAATCACAGTAATATGTATAATGTGCAATTTGAAATACACATTTGAAAATTTGTACCAAAGACAGCTTTAGTATTGTTATTTGCCTTAACTTTACTATAAATTCTACCAAGATACACTATTAAACCACACCACCGACAAAATTAAAGAGCACAGCCTAATCGAGATAAGCATGGTTACAATGATTTGAACCAAATTATGTTTACTTAATTTCTAATAAGTCCAAAATAAAAAATTCTAAATATATATAAATAAAATTACACATAATCACAACCATACCACAGCAGCACCCTAAAAGTTACTTTATTTTCACTGTTAAAATGGGCTTTCCACACAATTCTTAATATAAGCATTTCATTCGGCTTCCTACATTCATCTTAAAATTTTAAAACCAATAAATTTTATCTACAGAAGTGATTTCAAGCCACAGATTTTTTTGTTTCTGAGTTGGAGTCTCACTCTGTTGCCCAGGCTGCAGTACAGTGGCACGCTCACAGCCACTGCAACCTAGACCAGCTAGGCTCAGGTGATCCTTCCACCTCAGCCTTCCAAGTAGCTGGAACTACAGGTACAGGCCACCATGCCCAGCTACTTTTTTTTTTTTTTTTTTTGAGTTGGAGTCTCACTCAGTCGCCCAGACTGGAGTGCAGTAGCCGCTCCCGGCCACCGCAGCCTTGCCCTAGTGGGCTCCTGCGATCCTTCTACCTCAGCCTTCCAAGTAGCCAGAATTGCAGGCATGCACTACCACGCCCAGCTGGTTTTTTGATTTATTGTAGAGATGACGTCTCACTACCCAGGTGGGTCTCGAAACCGCGGGCTCAGGCAATTCACTCACCTCAGCCTCCCAAAGGTACGGGATTACAGGCTGAACCACCGAGCCCGGCTTACTTTTTTTTTAATTTATTGTAGAGATGAGGTCTTACCAAGCTGCCCAGGCTGGTCTTGAACCTGTGGGCTAAGGCAATCCTCTCACCTCGGCCTCCCAAAGTGCTGGGATTATAGGCGTAAGCCACCACGCCCAGCCAAAGTCACAGATTTAAATAACTGCAAATGTAAACAAAGAGGTCATTTTCACAATAGCCAGCACATACTCCCAGCAATTACTGGTCACTAGAACGTTCCAAAGACACCACAAATTTCCTTGTAAAAAGTGGACCCAAGTGATCTGAACATAGTCACTCACCACTTCTTCCAATGCAGCACTTCGCCCGAAAGAGCAAGTGAGGTGTGTGAGGCAGTTGACAAAGGAGGAGAAAAGTTCACTGGGAATGGCAGTTAAGACATTGCGTGGGAACACCGTTATCAGATTGCTGATGATGCTGGAGATGCCCACTGCTTCAGAATCTTCTATTTCAATTCTACAAGTCAAATAACAAGTATGATTAATTGATGGCAGAAGAAAAATTACAGTCACTCATCTCCAAAAGCGCAAATACTACTACCAATTCCCTTTTGAAGGTATGTCTCTGGGCATTAATTTCAAACTACTCACATAATTTTACTTTCACTTATAAGAAGGAGGAAAAATCACTAGTTTGTTTTTTCCCCACAGTTAAAGAGAAAACACAGAGGTCCTTTTCCAGTGATAAAGGACAGTATACCCCACCCGTTGATGGTACTTAGTAACCCCTGCAAGCAAACCTACCCATTAATGGTACTCAGTAACCCCTCGATGAAGTGGGCCAGATAATCGACTTGCGAGCCCTCATCAGGGAAGACGGGTCCGTGCAGAGACGCAAGCTGGGCGAGGCACTGCAGAGAGTCCTGTGCCATGTCTGAATCTTCTCTGATCTTTCGATGTACCTGTTAGAAAGAATTACTAATCTATAAAAACAAATTCTTCCTTTTTAAGGGTCATGTGCCTAACCATGCCACCCAAGGTAAAGGAAAATCACTGTAGCTGGTTATTTCTAGAAAATTAATTCCTAAATGAAGCTAAATTTGAAAATTGCCCCTCAGCCCACTTTACACTATAGGCCATGATTTTAAGCATATCCGTTAATTTTAACTGAGGGCTACCTACATTTTGAAAATTGAGCTGTCTCCAGCATGTTATGACAAAGAGAGAAACAGATGCCAGCCAGTCAGACATACTGCTTCTTCTAAAAACAGCAACGACGACAGTCATCTGTATTATGCTAGCTATGCCTAGCTGCAGCTTCTTACTAAAGTTAGCAGACAAGTTCAACCAAGAGTGTAGATGCTGCTTTAGTGGAAATAAACAGTTGCACACTTAGAAAACTAATATACCGTTGAATCCCTAGACATTCATTTGTTCATTCAACCAACACATAAGCACAATCTTTCACTAGTTCTCAGACTGCCTATAATGTGTCTGAGTCTCATTTTATCCTACATTACTGTCATTTAAAAATGCTAAAACATTTCTTTCTTTTTTTTAATTTTTTCCCTTTAGCATCGGAGTCACCAACCTTCAATTAAATTATGCTTAAGTCCACTTAAAAGCTCATCCAGAGTTTTGCTCAATGACGCAGTATGGAGGTGAAGCATCTGGTACGGTGTTTTGCGCATTGGAAATGCTCTCAGAATGCCACCCTCTAGTTTTATAATATAATATTCTCAGATGGCAACGGTTTCACTTTTGTGATGTGACATAATTAGTATAGCCAAGAAAAACTTAGCAAAGAAATGATATGATAATCACTAGTCTGTCCAACATTTCCTGTGACTATCTTCAACTTCCCACAAGCACTTAACTGCTCCAGCCCATTTTTTTCCCACACAAAGCTCTCTACTTTGTAAATGCTACACAACATTGAACATTTCAGGTTATGTTCACTTTGATTCTTCAAATCATTTGTTAATTATTCGAGTTTAGAACGTTTCTCTTAAACTCTCACTGGTATGTTGAGCAACAATGAACACTAAATAAATCTTTGTTCACTGATTGATTCCATTAATCCTTAATCCCTGAAATTTCCAAGGTTCTAATCATGAAATGGAAGGTACTAAGTTGTCTCTAAAAGTTACAAAAGTTCATTGATCTACTGACATGTGTAAAACATGTTGCACTCTGGCATGGAACAGGGGTTGGCAAACCACAGCCCAAGAGTCACATCTGGTCTTCTGGTCTGTTTAAGTATGACTGTGAGCTAAGAATTTTTTTTTCCATTTTCTTATAGTTGGGGGAAATAAAAAATAATAATAATCTTTTGTTACCTATAAGAATTACACAAAAATTCCCATCTTAATGAGCATCAATAAAGTCGTGCAGGAACGCCACCATGCTAGACTATGCACTGCCTGTGGCTGCTCCTGCACTAGATGCCAGTGTGGAGTATGACCACGTGACCTGCAAAGTCTGGATTATTTACTATCTGGCCCTATACAAAAGAAGCTTGCAAATCCCTGGCCTAGAAAACAAATGTTTTCCAAACTACACTCCAAAATACCAAGTGCAGGAGGAGACACATTCATATGTGCACACAGTCCAGTTCATGAACTCTTGGACACAACTCATTCTTCTAAGTCCTTTATCTGAAACCCATAACTAGATTTTTGTCATCATGCCTTGGAACCTACTCAACATCCAAGCATGACGTTCAGGGATACATTCCATCCACAGGTGTGACGTGACCTGGGACAACAGAGAACCTCTCACATTTTCTCTCCCGGCAGCCAGATGGTAGCTCATTCCTGCCCCAGAAGTGAGGAACCAAAGAAAAAAGAAAGAACACCCTCATGATACAGGATCCATGTCAAAATGCTGACACTCTAATAAAGTAACATAAAAATAAAGAACCATCTATGGAGACTGCCTGCACTATTCAAGCTTAATGTATGCTCCCTGAAATATGAACTGCATGAAACTCATGATGCATGATTGATTCTTACACAATACAGATTCTTGCCCCGCTTCCAATGTCAGCATCACAAAATAACTCTACCGTATCTGAACATGTATTTCAATACAAACTGTATTAAACAAGTAAACAATGAATTCACGCTTGAATATGGGAACGAGGCAAGAGGGATCAAAAAAACGCAAAGTCGAGCAGGACACTGATGTGGTGCATGGCAAGGCTGTTCGTCAAGACAAAGCATACAGAAGGAGAAGCAATCTCATAAGCTGATGAACTTGACTGGGACACGTTAAATCTGAGCTCTCCGTGGGTCCTCCACACTCACACACCCTGTAAGCACTTGGATTAGAGGGCTCTGGAGTCCAGGAGCAGGCTGTGCTGAATATAGACTGAGGAGTCATTGGCGAACTGTGCCCAAGCCCTACGTGGGGAAGAGATGGCCCCAGGACAGGGCATACGGTCAGCAAGGCTGAGAGTTAGGATCGGAATGCCAGTATGTACGCGATGAGCAAAAGAAAGAAGAGACTCTGAGCAAGATAAAGAAGATTCTGTCAAAAAGGTAGGATGAAGGACTAATGAGAGTGATGTTGTGTTTTATCAAGACTCTGTGGAGGAATTAAAAATCAAGAGGTCTGTAAACTTCTGAGGGGCAGGACACAACCCAAAGTGTTCCTATGTGCTTAAAGTCTTGGGATCAACAGATCTGAAGCCTTGATCCCAGGCAGCAGTATCATTACACATGACCTGCTCAAATCCAGGACAACAGTGGTATCAGGTGAAAAGGGACTTCAAATCAGGCAATGAATTTGCATAAGTGAAACTAAATTAAACAAAAATTCAACTAAATAAAGATCACCCGTGATCATTTCATAACAAATAACAAAATTTAAAATTGTTTATAAGCTGCTTAAATGAAACTAGCTACAAACACAAAACAGTTCAAATAAAGGAAAAAAGGGTTAACTGTCAAATTCAAAAGCTATTTGCCTGTGGTCGTTCACAGCTGACAAGAGCAGCTGTCTGGTTTGTCTAGACAGCTGTTCAGATTCGGTGGACTTGTTTCAGGACCGCCAGCAAGTTTTTCACCTTTTCAAACACTGCTGGAGTGGGATCTGCTTTCAGTCGAGTGCACAACACAAAGACTTGAACTTGGATTCGTATCAAAACCATTCCTGTCAGATGAGGCAGGCACAAAATTTCAAAATTTAGTTACAGTGATCTCTTTGATCTTGATAATGGCTTTAGTCATCATTTATATGATTTTTAAAAGAAAACACAAGCTGATTAATGTTCAGAACATTCATATGAATGTTAATCTGAAATGTCCTGAACATTTCAATAGAAAATATCTTTTATGTAGACCCGTGGATGGACAACCCTGTTCCAGATATTTTAAAACACATATCATATGACTAAAATATTTTAAAGAATTTAATAAAAAAAGACAATTGTGAGACTAGTGTACAATATTTTTAAAACAAGTGTAAAGAAACTATAATTAACAACTGAGAATAAGCAAAATAGCTTTCTTTTTCCTTTTAAACTGGTCTTTATTTGGGTTTTTGTCTAAGTCATTATATCCAACTAACTTGAATGCCCTATAACTGCAAATTGGCATCTAGCATCCAACACACATACACACACACAGGCATCTATTTTTTTTCCCAGCTTTTGACTGTTCTATTGGGGAAACTCACTGGCAAATGTGGGAACATATTGCTTACTTCTTGATAGTTAGCCAATAATAAAGAGGACTATTAAAATTATACTTGAAATTAACTGTTATTTAATATCAACCCATGACTGATAACTTTAATCAGTCCATAAAAAGTACACTATTCTTGAACAGCAGTTCTCAAAACGGGGCCCAGGAGTCCCCAGAGCTTCTTAAAACCACTAACAGTAACATTAAGACAGTATCTGCCTTTTCCATTCTCACTGTCACACGTATACATGGAGCTTCTTCCGAGGCTGCATGATACGGGATATTGCAACTAACTGAAGGCAGAGGCAGGTAGGAGAGTCTGGCTGCCTAATAAGCCTGGCATCAGAGACTTGCAAATGATGCAAGTCAGTGCTATTCTTCTTACTAAACTTGCTTTGTTCACTCATTTGTTCATTAAAATGTCATAATATTTGTGCTAATATTAATGATTTCTCATTGCTATTTTTAATAAGTGAATTTTTTAAAAATTCTCGTTTTGAATTTGTAACAGGATAAATATGAATCACCTACATAAACAAAAGCTCCTCAGGGTCCTCAACAATGTTTCAGAATACAAAGGGGTCCTACATAAGAAGTCTGAGAACTTCTGCCTTAGGATACTAAACCCTTCATAATTATATTTTTATCAATTAGCAAGAATCTTTTGATACAATTTCTATTTAAGCAGATATATTGATTAGAAAAGAAGACTCAAAGGAGAAACGCAACCTGCTCTGTTTTACTCAAGGAAAACATGAAGGCATTTCCACTTTCCCATGGTCCTTGCTACCAGAGACGAAGAGCAAGACTCACTGTGAAGAAAAGCTCCATCACTCTGCTGTCCAGAAGAGTCTCCCGCCAGGACTCCGTTGGCTTCAACAGCACATTTTGCGAGGATTCAAACATAGCTATATAATGTCTGCCCAGTTATCTGGTGTCAAGGTCAACAACAATAACATTCTTACTTTGTCGAAAGTGTATCCTAAATATAACAGGAGCCATCCAGGAAGAATGTAACAGTAACAGTTTAAGCCTCTTCCATATGCTCCATAATTCACGCATGAAGCTAAGGGATAAAGGGCATTAAATGCTGGAAAAAAAGAATGAAGACTGCTACAAGAGTGCAAGACATTGTGGTTGAAACTGCAAAAACAGACACCAGAATCGATTTCTGCAGGTTTAACACATCAATTCTCCCATTAGCTCACAACAGCTAAAACCACATATCCAAAATGTGGGCCTCATATAATATTTCTTACAAAAAGAATAATCCCTGGGAAAACAAAAACAAACAAACAAACAAACAAAAGGAACAAGAAGGGTAAACACATCATATTGAAGAAAAACTCCCACAGATCACAGCATCCAAATATCAAATCCAAGCAAAGAAATAATCTGAGAAGAAACTTAACAGGCATTCATTTAAAATCCCCACAGACTAAACAGCAATGTACATGGCATTCAGGCATTCAACATCACTTCACATATGATCCTGTTTTCACCATTAAGTCATCACTACATATTAGTGGGTGTCTGTGAATAGTTCCCTCACTGCCACTGCCGCAGCAATGGAGGCTTTTCAGAAATGAGGGCTGCTTGGGGATAACAACAGTAGTTACTGCCCTTCAGCTGCCAATCAAACACGAGCTGAAAGACCTCGACCAGGAAGCATTCACCTCACTAGGTGATAAATCTTAACAAGAATTATCCAAAACCACAGTTTGCAAAAGTTAGATAGAAATTCAAATGCTCTATTTTCTTTTTTTTGAAATTGGAGTCTCACTCTGTCGCCCAGACTGGAGTGCAGTGGCTGCTCCCAGCCACCGCAGCCTCGAC